GCAGAGATGTGCCTTCCACACTCAATCCGTTGTTCCATGCTCACAGTGCGGTTGCCCACTTTGGCCTTGTGACGAGGCATGATTTGGAGTCGTGCCTCTTGCTTAGCAGTCTTCGATTCGGAATCTGAAGGCGCGTTAATATGTGACGGCTTGGATAAATTACTCCTCTTGCCGGTGCCGAGCTGAAAGTGTTCGTTTCCTCCCCAGAACAGCGCGTCATGACCCCAGTCGCTGGGCTTCTCCAGAGACGTCGTGGCCGAAGTGTCAACGTGAGCTTTGTTGTCCATGATGGCCGACGCATGTGTTGTACCGACAGAGATATTACGTAGTCGGATGGGCGAGAGGGTCTTTGTTCGTTCGTCGTACTCGAACAGGCCACTCAATGCCTTCACCTTCGTAGGTGCGTCTTGTAGGTGCGTCCATCTTCCGTTTCCGAGAGCACCCCAGATGCCCCGGCCGCAAGTCCACGTGTCAGCCGTAATCCGACCCAGGTCACGCACCGTAGAACGATCTTCGCCAGGGCCAAGTATCCGTTGAGCATCCACAGTGAAGAAACTGTTGGCTCCCCCAGCTGCAATCGCAGTCACCTTCGGAAGCCAGATGTTGCCTGGGTAGAAAAGCTTCAGCGGTACTAGAGTAGGGGTATCGTTGAATGGCTGGGCAGGGTCGAATTCGGACCCCAGCTGCCCAAAGGAATTGTCGCCAAAGGCGTAAACGTTTCCATCCTTGGTAAGCGCCAAAGAATGGTAATCTCCGGTAGCAACTTCAGTAACCTTAGAGTTGCCGAGGGTCTTCACCTCATGGCAGGTATCCACGGGCCCTTGAGGTCGAGTCGACCAAGTCAATCCAGGCACACCAAGTTGTCCAAAGGAAGGATAGCCCTCAGTGGAAGAAGCGACGGAAAAGACTCGACCAGAGTTCGTTAGGAGAAGCGCATGCTGTAGTCCACCACTGATGGCGGTGACTTTTTCGCCTAGCCTCAATGCGGGTTCAAGCAACCGATAGCTCACGCCAGCTCTTCCAGAGCTGAATGGGAACCAAGAGCCTTCCTTGGGTTTCCGACCGCTTTCTTGGTCATCCTTGGCAATTGGGAGTGAGTATACATTTCCGTTTGAAGCCAATGCAAGAATGCGATCACTCGACATGCACAACGACCTCAAGTCCTTGCCAGTCAAGGTCTTTGTTGGTTTGAAGTCAGTTTCCGAGTACCCTTTGCCCCATTGAACCAGATCACCATTCTCAGTAATGGCAGCACCAGACTTCTCTGAAATTTTGAGATCTCGGAGCACTTGACCCTCAAAGTAGGATAACTCCCGAGGAGTCTTGATCACGGATTCTTTGGAGGCAGGATCCACAACACGATAAGTATTGTTCCCCCATAGGTAAACTCCGGGGCTCTTCAGACTCTTTTTTTCTTGCACATACTGGGAATCCAGATCCTGAGCAATCTTTGGCGTAACGGTCTTCGCCTCAATAGCACCCTCAAGTTGATCGCTTCGGGTGGTCGCAAAGGTATAGACTAAGAACGCAGCGGCAGCTGTTCCACCTAGACCAAGCGAAGTACGAAGCCAATTTGGCGAAGGAGCAGATGATTCTGGTGCTCTGCCATTACCATTAGCATAATGCCTTCGCCATGATCGGATGGCCGACCGGCCTGTTCGCGGGAGACGGTATGAAAGCGTGACGAGGTTCGTCACTGGCTGTCGCACCCGATTCATCGACATAATGTTCTCAAATATCTATCATCTCAAGCTCAGCATAACGAGCTACAGAAAGTTCTTTGAAGAGCTTTTCGTTTCGCACCGGGCAGAAGTGAAAAGTGACTTCAGAAGCTCAGTTGCGTCAATGATCTGGACCACAGGCGGTATGACGTGGCAGAATAGCAATCGAAAGGGCCACGGAGGAGCGACCAGCTCCAATTGCGATCAACACGGTTGAGTTTCATAGTGTCTTTGACTCTCCTCACTTATGGATTACTTTCAGGTCGATTGAAACTATACTAGAGGCGCCAATATCGAAGCCTCCGCGACTGTATCGTGGGCTCGAAGCTCAACCCCACAATGCCTCAGCCTACAGCGGGACAGCGAGCACGACGGCAGACTGCACCTTCAGGTCCGCCAAAAGAATTCAAAGTTCAGACGGCAGAGATAGCGGAAGCGCTACCGGAGGGTATTGAGTCTATAACAGATGTCAAGAATGAGCTCGATTTTGTACAGTGGTATAGCGACATTGAAAATGGGCTCCTGGAGAGCAGTTACGACGAGTACCAGTACGCAGAGAAACAATTCCGATCTTCCTTACGATGCGCTGTTGTTTTCCATGCTGACTCACTCGCGTGGTTAGATCTTGTCTTCAGGAGCTTCAAACATCAAAGTCGCACCTGGACGCGCTTTTGTCTGACACATCGTCCACGCTCGACCTCCTTCGTAGCCTCTCCGAATCCTTCAAGGCCGTGGAAGCTCAAACATCGAATTTCCGGAAGCAATGCGAGGGACTCCTATCTGCCCAAAAGCGTGACACAGAGCTAGCGGAGAAAATACAAGAGAACCTCCAATACTATGAGTTCCTGGACCCCACTTCAAAGCGACTCAACGCTCCTGGTGCTGGAAATGCTGTTCGTGGCCAAGACTTCTCAGATATGCTCAGGCGGCTGGACGAGTGTCTGGATTACATGGAGACGCATGTGAGTATGCAGTCGTGTCCTGAATTGGCGAGTCAACTGACTCCTTCCCAGCCTGAGCAAAAGGAAGCTAGTGTGTATCGATCCAGATACAGGCTGCTTATGACGCGAGCTCTCACCTTGATTCGAGGACATTTTGTTTCGGCACTTCGAGATATACACACCAGTGTTTCGAAAAAGATTGCAGACCAACAGCAGAACGAAGCGACTATGTCGGCCCTATTGTACGCCAAGTTCCGTGTTGGTGCTCCTGAATTGAAACAAATTGGCCTCGAGATACAGAAGAGAGCTGTGCCACCGTTGGATCCTGAACAGGGAACTGAAGCGGAATATCAGAGTCTTCTCAATGAACTTCACACGAATTTCTCAGCTACTCGTGGCAAATTGATCGTACCTTTAGTACGAAAAAAGCTCTACGATATTGCACATGCCCCGAGTACATCAAAGGATTTGGTCGCTTTCGCCCGCGCCAGCATTAGCTACGTTCGTGGTGTTTGTTTGGATGAGTTTGAACTGTGGGGTGAATGGTTTCACGGCCAAGCGGGTTTATACGACTTTCTCGAGACAGTCTGCGAGCCTCTGTATGACCATCTGAGGCCTCGAATTATTCATGAGGATAAGATCGTGAACCTCTGTCAACTCTGCACCCTCTTACAGACCCGCTTTCTACTTGACCAGGATGAGGAGGTGGAGCAGACGGATGCTAATCAACTCGACTTCTCCGTACTGATACAACCCGCCCTGGAGGATGTGCAAACTCGTCTCGTTTTCCGCGCGCAAGCCTTCCTGCGTGATGAGATTGAACGGTTCAAGCCGCGCCCGGAGGACCTCGATTACCCTGCACGCAATAAGGGAGTCTCGATTACCGTTACCGAGAATCAGATTTCCGGAAAGAAACTGGCACCCGCCAATACCTTGGTACATCTGGCGAAGGCAACGAGGCAATCAGATGATGACCCCGACGCCATCTCGGAGCAGGACTCCAAGTGGGATTTTGAGCCTCAGGCTGCCCTGAGTGGCTGGTATCCAACATTGCGTAAAGCCATCTGGCTTCTCAGCCGAATATACCGTCTCGTAAATGTATGAACGCCTTCTGCGAATCCACAAATGCCATATTGAAGCTAACCTATTCCTTCAACAGTCCACTGTTTTCGACGACCTGGCCCATCAGATCGTTCACCAGACGACCGTCTCTTTGCACCAGGCGAGCGCTCAAATCTCAAGCAAATCCACCGCGGACGGAAAGCTTTTCTTAATGAGCCATCTCCTGATCCTGAAGCAACAAATTGTCGCATTCGACATCGAGTACGTAGCGCCAGAAGTGTCGTTCGATTTCTCCGGCATCACCAATACCTTCTGGGAGCTCCGCGAAAGAGGTGGCCTCTTCAACCCCCGCAACCTCATGCGCCTCGTCGGCCATGGTCTCATCCCACGCGTCGTCGAGAACATGCTCGATGCAAAGGTAGAGCTCGACGGACGGCTCCGAACCGTGATCAACGACTTCATTAACGAGTTCGCAACGAAGATGACCGCCTCTTTACCCGCAAAGTTCATCGATAGGCGGTATCTACAACAAGGAGAACTAATCTATCCAACATGCCAGAATATCGAGAAGGAAGTCCCCAATTTACGAAAAATACTCAGTGACTATCTTGACGATCCCCGGATGAAAGAAACTCTTGTTGGTGCAGTACAAGACCGCGTCATCCAGATTTACGAGGACTTTTTCGACAGATATACATCGTCTGAACGGAGCAAGGGACATTCCGTCTCCAAGAAGGGCAAGGGCCGCGAGGACGCCGTGTGGGATGTGGGGACCTTCGCAGAATGGTGTGAGAGTATCTTCCGAGTCGGCATCCCTGAGCAAGATGACGAAGGATTCCGTAGTGGGAATATGAGCCGGAGCGGGAGTCCGGGGAGCTAGGCATGGATAATCCTGGCTATTGTTCCTATCAGTCACGTTATGAAGATGTATATATAAAAGGGCCTTCGTACATAATCCAAGCAAACATCTTGGCCCTTTGGACTAGTAAGTTTTTCATGACAATTACAATGGTAAAGCGAGAGCGAGGTCAATTCGATGATATACTTTTTATTGATATTGGCAGTAGACGCCGAAGAAATCGAAATGTTTTCGAGTTGTGACTTTTGCGCAAATCCATACTAATCATGTCATATACAACACGCAGCAAACGTGCCAATTGAACTCAGACGAGGGGTATGATGCAGCAGGAAATACAAGCATCGCTAAAAAGACAATAAATATATACATGCGCGTTGCTAGAAGATGGGAGGAAATAGCGACTATTGTATACGGCGTTTAAAGCACATGGCGAATCTTGGCATAGAGTTCGGTGTCGAGGAAGTTGTAGTTGAGATCTTCCTCGCAAAACGGGTGACGCGTCAACAGTGTCTGCGCAGTTGGACGTTCGGACGAATCCCTGTATTGTCTGTGAGTACAGAAAGGCAAGCTAAAGGGACGTGTGGGGCGACTTACACAGTGAAACAGTCATACATAAACGCCAGCGCTGCAGGACTGATGGTCATGGAAACGTCGTCTGGAATTGGAGGTGCTTGACTCAAGCTTCCAAGCTTGAAAATGGCACCGATCGCCTCTTCTTTGCTCCATGGTCGGCGACCAGCGAACATCTCTAGTACCACACAACCCAGAGACCAGATATCGACCTTGGCGCTGTAGCCCTGACCCTGTGACTGTATGACCTCAGGTGCCATCCAGAAAACGGACCCTTGCATTGAGTTCGACGAGTCGTTCCCGTAGATATCATCCGTCTTCTTGGATATACCGAAGTCAGAAATCTTGCAGGTGCCGTCGAGATCGAGAAGGATGTTGTCCGCCTTCAAGTCACGATGCAATATTCCCTGGTCATGAAGGTATGCTAGCCCGCTCAAGGTTTGACGAGTCAGGGATTTGACAACACTCTCCTCGAATTTACCATGCTTCCGGAGGCAGCTACCAATGGAACCACCTGAAATATACTCAAGATAGATCGAAATGGACAATTCGCCACGCTCACATCCAAGATATTGCACGATGTTCGGGTGTTCAAGGTGCTGCATCGTGTCGATTTCTTGATCCATAGCGGCGACCATCTCCTTAACCCGATCCGTATCTTGCCCAGCAAGTCTTGGGTTGATCTCGACTTGTTTTACGGCCAAGACTTCACCATTGTCAGCATTGATTCCCAGGTAGACTCGTCCGTATGTCCCCTTGCCAATCAGCTGACCGCGGATAATGCGGAAAGTAGGCTGTCGCTGAGGTACCCCCGATGGTGTGTTGTTCTGAGGAATCGGGTCGAGTTGGCTGAGACGACTGCCAGGCTTTGGCTTGATCTGCATGATCTTTGCTCCGAACATTTTTGTGCTCTTACGCCGAAGAATCTCGCCGGACTTCTGGTTTCCAGTATGGATGCTGCGACTTCGGCTAGCTTGGTTGGCACCCTTGGCGACCTCTCGGATTGACTTTCCTCGAGTAAGTCCCCCTCCTGCCCGGTTGATATTACGACGAGCTACTATATCTCCACCTTGTGGCTTGAGAGTTGGCTCGTTAGAGCCCAGCGTATCTCCTGCGTTGGCATTCATCTCTCCGGCGTAAGATGAGCTGGGCTGGTTTTCCTTCTTGTGCAAATCATTCTCAGGCGGGGCTCTGTTTGCGGGGGATGACGGAGGAGATACCCCTTGTCCATCGAGGTAAGGTGCGTCAAGGTCGATGTCAGGGAAGAAATCGTCCAGATTGTCGATGACGCCCTCAACCGGAGGTCTGCTTGCCCATATATCGCCTCGAGCAAACGAGTCTCTCCGCGGCGGCGGCCTCTCGTCTTCAGGTGAAGCGGCCATGAGGAAAGAAGACCCGTCCCGACCGCCAGAGTCACCGTTGGCATCGGCAAAACTTTCGCGCGTGGCACTAGGCGACCTGAAACTCACGGAAAGACCTTTGCGGAGTCTGGTCTCAGTATTCACGGTTAGCGCCGGTTTTTCTGTCCTCTTCTGGGCCTCCGAAGTCCCAGAGCCGGAATCATTCTCTTTTGTGGATGCTTTATTATTTGACAGTGGTATCGCAAATAGACCATCGTCCGAATCTTCATCGGAATCATCCTGTGGCCCGGGCGAGCGCTGGAAGGAGACTTCAGTCTCCTCGAAATCGAACTCGGGGCCATAGGACTTGCGAGATTGTAACGTGGGTTTCCTGGTAGTGCTCTTGGTCTGACGATGCTCCGCGGGGATGTCTGGGTTGTCGAGACTTTCCTTCTCCGGGGAGGACCGAGGGGTGCTCTTGTTACCTGGAGTAGCCAGTCAGTTATTTTAACTAAAGATGATGAGTACGGATTGCAACGCCTTACCTTGCGTTGGAGAACCGAAGCTTCCAAAGCTAGTCTGTTTACTGCCCGCGCTTGTTGGAGTTGGCACAGAGGGAGCTGGTGTCCCAATCGCGCTGGTCATTCTACCCATGCTAGCCAATACTGCCCCGAGACCATGTGTCTGCACAGCTGGCGGAGCCCTCGGACGGTCGCCGTCTTTCTTCCTCAGAGAATTGATCCTGGTTAACGTATAGGACTCCTGTGGGGCCGAAGGAGGTTTGCGGAGAGGAACTAAAGTGTCGGCCTTCTTGTCTTCGTAAGGGGATACACGGCGCTCATCGAAATCAATGACGCCTGCACGTCTATAGCCTGTTTCTCCGTAAGAGTCGTTTCTCGGTTGTGGTGGCCCTTTCGAGCTTAGGTACGCCTTTTGTTTCCGTTCTACCTCGCGCCTATGCTCCTCGTGACGAGCCAGTAGATCTGCCTTGTCTGGTTCAGGCGAGATTCCCACCTGCTGATCTCCTTCTACTGGGGACATTCCCGCCGTATGTTGCGAGGCGTCGCGGGCCGGAATTTTCGCAGCAGGAGTCTTGAGCTGTTGTTGGCGTATTCCTAACTGCGGAGAGGAAGGCCCCGTTTGAGTATGCGGAGAAATTCTACTGAGGGCTTCGTCATCCAATGGTTTCCTGTGTACATGATGGGTAGGAGACGCCGTATGCTTGTCCGGAAGCGACACACCCAGACCGGCGAAATTCGGAACGTTGTTTGGCACCGGTTGCAAGTGCGTCCCACGTACAAACAGCTTCAAAGAGCCAATGGAGTCGGATTTGGTGCGACGACAGAGAGCGAGCATCGTATCGTTGAGCGGTTCCTCATGTTCACTTTGTCCTGGCTCAGTCAAGAAGATCTGTGCGCCGGCCCAGTCGGAGATTCCGAGGTTATGGCAGATAGCAGCACGCAGCGTCTCCACAGAGTCCATGTCAGTAATGTCCACTAGACGGAAATTCCACCCATCCAGAGTTACAAAGGTCCATTTCTTTCCTTTCTGAGCCGGTTTCCCTCTCATGGCTAGCCGTTCATGGTCGGACATAGAAGCAGACGATGGGCGCTCCCCTAACGACATGTCGCTGGCGTTGAAACTTGGTTTGGCGTAAGGAAGATGCGGCCCATTCTGGCGAAGATTCACAGGGCTTGTAGGAGACTCCAGATACGGTTCCTCTGGGGACGGATGAGTGGAATCACCACCTTTTGACCTCTTTTTCAAAAAATTGAAGAGTCCCTTATGTTCTTTCGGATATGAGGAAGAAGTTTCTCCTGTCCACTGTCGGCTGCACATCTCTTGCGGGGATGGGCGTATCGTTTCCTGCCCCTTGCGGGATTCGTAGTATCGACGGCCCATCGTTGAGTCGGAGCTGTTACCACGCGAGTGCTCATATTTGACACTCAAATCGCCTGTTGACGATGATGACAGACCTTGATTCAAGGTAGCGTGCTGCGTCGCCGGACTGCCACTTTTTGGGCTATCTTCATACGATCGAAAAGGGGCTACCAAATTGCCGTTGTCACTGGACATGGATGGGCTCTGCCGACGATGGTCAACCCCAAGGCCAGCTAATACCGTTCGCGAGAAGTCTGATCGAGACGATATACCGTCCGTCTGGCTGAAATCTGATGAAGCAATATCGTGAGTGGTCGGGATGGGCAATGTGACGGATCGCATTTGGACACTGTTTCTATGGGGCTGAGCGAGCTGTGGTGCTCTGAGATTAGGGCTATTTTCAATCGTCCCTGAATGCGGGCCAGCAGACTGAGGCTCATGAGATAACTTAGGTGACGTATCCGGCACCCCTTCAGATGGGGCTTGGGATTCACGACGTTTCTGGGTAGGGATCCCGACGTCAAAGCTATCGTCATCGTGAATCTGTCGAATAAGTCGACGCATGCGCTTTCCTTCCCCAAGCTCACGCTCCTTGTCCCATCCTGTTCCGCTAGCTTCGCATTCTTTGGCTAGCTGGGGAAAAACTTCGTTGTGCATTTTGTTAAAGTTGCCCCGACCATTGGCCCCATGACCTATGTCGAGGAAGTCAGCTCCCTCGATTTGCAAAGTCTTGAACGTTTCTTGCCAATCTCTCGAGAAACCATTCTTCGCAAGCCATAGCAGCACTCGATCAAGTGGCCACTGAACAGCAGCCTCGCTGGGTGACATGCCGCCAAGCAACGTGTTACTATTGTTTTGGCGATGGCTAGGAGATTTTGTCGGCTCGTTTGATTGGCCTGTCTGAGACTGATGATTCTGAACAGTCGCACCAGGAAGGGAAGGAGCCGCGGGGTCTTGCGCATTGTCATGCAATGCCAAAGAAGAGGGCATTGTACGGGCTGATGGGGTAGGTGGTACGGTTCCATCGCGCTTGTATGCTGGAACCTCTCCGCCCGAGCTTTCGTATAAATGGTGCACGGGTCCTCTTATCCTATCGCTCCCGGACATGGTTCCATAAGCCTCATACGAAGGCCGCGTGTGAGCATCGAACCCAGGAATCCCGACGCCGGCACCGAAAGTGTTACTGCCTGGGACATAAGTCGCAGATGTAATCGGACCGTCGGCAGTGGGGACTGAGAAACTCGTTTGACGGCCGTAAGCTTGGTTTGTCGGTACCATTGGAGGCGGCGGGGGAGGTGGGAGAAACCCTTGAGATAGCGCTTGCCTAGCCCAATTATGCTGCCATCCGAGATTGTTCTGCTGCTGCAACTGGGAGTTTGCGAGCTTCGACGCGCCATATCCAGGACCTGGAGGGGGTCCCGGGGGTGGTCCCGGAGGTGGAGGTGGCATCACACCCTGGGGTTGCGTAGGCAGATGTCGAGGTGGCGGCGGTGGTAGCGAAAGCATGTGGGACTGAGATGGCTGTGTCGCAGAAGGAGGTGGAGGGGCAGGTATGTACGCTTGCTGCCTTTGGCCATCCATGATGGGCAGCGTCGTGGTCTGCTTATACCGTTATGTCCAAGCCACTTGTCGAGTAGTGTAGAAATGCACAGATAGATCGCACAGGACTGCGCAGCCGCTGAGCTCTCGCGTGTAACTGTCTCCTTGTGCCTCTGGTATGCGGTCCTAGAACAAGCCTCGAAATCTCATGCCTTCGCAGGGTAAACCTCGGGCTTAATCAGACATCAGACGTATATTGCGTTCCTAGACAGGTGATTCGGAGATGTAATCGCCGTTATCGCACTCGCATTTGAGCTTGTCGGATAGTTACGAAAACGATGGTGCTGGACAGTAAACAAGCATGACCCCATACAACAGTCAAGATCTCATTTCACACCCCGCAAATCCCTTCGGGTTATGAAGAAATATTTCCGCAGTATGCGATTTGAATAAAGCAGTCGACGCTCCGAGCTTTTTGTGATCGTGGGACGGACTCGGGAGAGGGTTCAAGAATCGTGAGTTGATTGTACGATTAAAAGACGTAACGGAAGCCCAGCCTATGTAAACTTTGAATCGACTTGCTGCCCCGACGTTGAGCAACTAAAATGTCAGAATTGGTCTCCAGAAATCTCCTCGATAGCAGGTAGAGCTTTCTGCGTACTTTGGAATCGGAAGGGGGAGGGGAAGCAAATGCCGCGGAAGGTAGATGTCAAGGGAAAACATACCATGAACAATCGATAAAATGACACTGAGACAGGAGATAGATAGCAGGTCTTGGCAGTCACTATTAGATATTAAAAAGGGTTTTTGACATGACTATGGAGGATTTGAGACGGACCGAAAGGACTCGACATAGTTCAATAATAAGAATCCTTCCATTCAATGGAGATCCAGCCCAAGGTTTCATTCATGGGGATCGTTGATGCGCTGGACGCCTTGTCTATCACGTGGTGGCCCAGCGATAAGTCGAGGTCCTCTTTCCGACTCGTTCATTTGCTGCACCTAAGGTACGTAGGGTAGATAGGTAGGGTTGGAAAGTAACTATTTGTCCATATTTAATCTTTGTTTCTCCGTCGCGCATGCCCTATGACGCCTGATTTGGCTTCTCCATTTGCAATCAAATTAGGGGAAGAACTCGAAAGGGATTTGTCTTACTCTGCGGATGGAGTCCCGACTTACGGACACTTTCCGTGACGGCGTTGTCCGAGCACATTTATCTGCAGTTCTCCTTCTGGAGTCTTACAGCCGATCTCAATGCCTCAGCCCTACGGTCCGACCGCATTTCCATTACGCGGTTGGGAACCATCCTTGGGTCAACCAGGTACTTTCTTCATGGTCGGGATAGACTCGTCCTCTCGCGTAACAATCAATTAAAATAATTCTAACTCATTAATGGCTGGTATCAGGCCAAATCCCCAAGAGTATCCATCGTTCTATATATCCCACCATCAATGATTTTGACCTTTTCTCAAGACTCGTATACAGACAATCTATTTGTTGCGCGAGGCTGCTGCTTCAGCTGTCAACTTCAGAGCTGATGGTGCATCTTCCCGCGGCATGTAGAGCTCCACCAACTACAACACCTGATCAGTATCTCGAAAACTCGAGTGATTGGAGATGCTTGCTTACCTGCAGGCACGGCGCTGAAGCGAATTCTTTGTTCTCGAAAAGCTTGATCATGTCGTCTTTGGTCTTGACTTGATAACCCTTGTAATCCTTTCCTGCTCCGAATGCCACGGGAAGGCTCTTGTAGTCCCACTGCTGGATATCATTGTAGCTCGCTTCCCATCCATGGATGTACCGTTCAATGGTATATCCTTCATTACAGATGACAAAACTAATTGTTCATTAGCACAGCATAAACTTGAACTGCATTGCCTGGGGAACTCACATAATGGGATTGAGCTTGTTCCTGATCATGGTACTGATTTCCTGCAAAGTGAGCTGAATGCTTCCATCTCCGACGAAGAGAATAGTTCGACGATTGCCCTGCTCTTTGGCGGCCAGTGCGGCTCCCTGGCAAGCTCCCACTGAGTAACCAATGCTACCCCAGAGTACTTGACTGATTGCCGTGACACCTGCGGGGAACCTCGTTTCCCAGATGCCAAAGTTTGCAGTGCCAGTCTCTGTGATGACGACGTCGTTCTCCTTCAGCCACTGGCCGACCTTGGGCCAGAACCACCTGTGTGTGATTGGCTGATCACCCGACTTCGGCTCATCGTCAGGCAATTTGTTGCTGAGCTGCGGCACCGGCTGGGCATTGACACGCCCCAACTTCTGAATGACCTTTCTCAAGACACCTTTCATGTTGATGTCCGGATACTCGGAGTATCGCACTCGCACGTATGTACTGTGGAAATCGATGGTATTCAACTGACCAATGCGGTAGGTGAAACCAGCCGTGTTGAAGTCCGACTTGATCGCGCCAATGCTAAGAATCAGGTCGGAAGACTCCACCTGCTCTCGCACACCAGTGTTGGATCCGTCTCCAGCGTAAACACCGCCGTAGTTCTTGTGCGTCTCGTTGACTGCTCCTTTGCCCATCGGCGCCACGAAAGTTGGCAGGCCGGAGGCCTCCATAAGGTCATGAACTTCTTGTAGCACTTTGTGACGGATGGCGCAAGCATCGACCAAGATAACCGGTCTTTGGGCTGCGTGAAGATACTTGAGAACAACATCCACCACGTAGTCTTCCTTCTCAGGGTCATTAGATGGCAAAGAAAGGTCAATCGGGGTATTCAGTCGTTCTCCCTCAATCTTCTTATTGATCATATCGGTTGGCAGAGTGATATAGACCGGTCGGCTTCGGATCCAGCATTCTCGGATAGCATTGTCAATGAGTGTCGCTACTTCGTGGGTATCATTTAAGCGTCCGACAGTCGTAGAGATACCGGCATTCATTCTTGCAAAGACATTGTAGTCCCCATTGCCGAGCGTGTGGTGAAGCAGCATTCCGTCTCTCTGAGACCTGGTGTGTGGCTGACCAACGATATGGACAATGGGTACGAATTCGGAGTATGCACCAGCAATGGCATTGATCGCTGACAGCTCACCAACGCCAAAAGTCGTTATCAATGCACTGATTCCGTTCACCCGGGCATACCCATCAGCGGCGTAACCTGTTGTAAGTCAAGGTATCAGTCACTGCGCCATCTTGCTCGAACCAGCTGCTTTCAATCAGCTACGCCGCACCACGTACCTGCATTGAGCTCGTTGCAGTTTCCTACCCAGTGAAGACCGCATTTTGGCAGATAGTCCAAAGCCGCAAGGTTATAGTCACCTGAAGTGGTATGGTCAACGCCAGATTTTTGAACGGTGACTCCCAATTGGAGAGGATCGCTCACCAGGAACACCATGCACTGAGCGAATTCCAACCTCATGGAGACGCCGGAATAGATATTCAGCGACGTCAATAGGCTTGCGAAGCTCCCTTGTAGCAATGTCAGTGGCCATTATGAAGTGTTGGTTGAACAATGAGGATATATTGTATGGACAGCTGTAAAAGTGAACCAAAAATGTCCGACGCAGGGGCAAGGTCGAAGATATAAAATACTTCGTAAGAACACCAGATGTTGTGCCATCTTCCAGGGTGTTGAGGTGTCGTCATGAGCATAGCGTGATGTCATGCGGTTCTGCTGGATTTAGCTGAGATGGGACCATGAGTGGTGCTCCACGGCCCATCAATCTAGGTGTTTTAAACGATGCATTTTGCGACCTTCACTCTAGGTACGGCAATATAAGGCCGACAGTTTTCCCGAAGTCATTCTTCCTGGGTTAAAAACGTTGGAATTCCATCTTGGTACTCCGTAAAAGCTTGGTTGTTCTATAAGAGCCCGTTCTTCATCTGGTTCCAGCCCGAGTCCGAATATCCCGGCCTAGCATGATTTGTTTGATAAGTTGATCATCCCACTAGTCCCACCACCCGCTAAGCCAATTATGGAATTCTGGACTTTTTGAGATAGAACCCCTCTAAAGCTCTGGTGTTGTCAGTTCACCAATGACTGGGTCGAAGTGCAAACTAGGTAGATAACCACTCGCAGTGCAATAAGACCTTGAAAGGTGCTGGCTCCTTGATTTCGACTGGATATATTACCAGAAGAGGAAATTTATCGACACGGCTTTGCACTCATCAGCAAGTCTTTCCTGTCACTACGGTACTTTCCACCACCAATTTGGTATCATCGTGAATGGCTGCAGCGGAAAAGCGAGCTATGCCTGATAACACAAGCGATCAATCCAGCAAGAGAAGAAAGGTCCGCTCCCTTACGACGCTTTCTACGAGAGATTTTCATATTTGTTATTCTGACAATTTCCGTCAATGTCAATATTTCCTATATCTTGTATCGCTAACGTAACCACAGGGAGGCGGCAAATGGCAGAAACAGCAAAGTAACAAGGCGATAGTTGAGAGCGGCGATTGGGGGGTCTTCGTAACTTGTGATATGGGCAGGGAAGGCAAGTGCATTGCAGAAGCTCTGGATCTCTTCTCTCAGGTCAGTATCAACCAAGATCAGTTCGTCTTCTTGCACTATATGACTCTTCCCAATCTGATGCACGGTATCTATCAGAGCGTTGAGTCAGCAAGCAGCAACACCGGAGGCGAAGACTCAGGCTCAGATGAGGATGAAGGCGACATTGAGGCGCAAATCAAGAAAGAAATCGAAGGCTTGAAGCCCGGATCGGCCAAACCACGCCAATTTCAAGCCATTAGAATGGAGATGCCCTGCGGTTCGTCATCGCACCACTTGGGTCCCATAATAGCATGACATTGGGCTGACCCTTAACAGTGACATTCATACGATTTGACAAGTCGATAGATCCTGAAAAATTAGTTCACGACGTTTGTCTTGATGCTCATGCAAATCCCGAGAAGAAGAGGTGTCGATGGGTCCAGCGGATGACTCCTGTAAGATCAATTCGAAAAACCCTCAGTGTCGATCTAGAAGCGTTCGCAAAAGAGATTCTGAAGCCTCACTTTCACTCCGGAGGACCTCCGAAGAAGGTGCGTCTTTGTTCCCTTGTGTTGCATTACTTGCGTTGTCTGAAATGGCGGTGCTGATACTAGTCAATTGTATACAGTATGCTATTCGGCCTACAATAAGGGGCAACAATAAATTCAACAGGGATAGTGTGATCAAAACGATTGCAGATGTCGTAGGCCCCGAACATCCAGTTGATCTCAAGAATTACGATTTGATTATCCTTGTCCATCTGATCCAGGTGAGTTGCCTGATATGCAGGCTGGCCCGATAGATAATGCTGTACTTCATTCCACTAATCATAATCAACTCGACCAGAACGTAGTCGGGATAAGTGTTGCCGGTAGTGATTACGACAAACTGAAACGATACAACCTGGCAGAGTTATACACTCCGACTCCGAAGCCTCAGGCTCCTGAAAATTCGGGAGTCTGAAAAAGTGTGTATCGATTGTTCATTGCCTCTTCAAATCTCTGTGACATCGCGGGCAGCGAGGCTCGGAGCGGTCAAAAGATAAAATTTGACTTATCCCAGACACGAGGTCACAACACTCGAATTTACATCAAGGGTCAACTACTTTGGGCCAGATCAATTAAGTCAAAATACCATACAAAAGAGGGAAATGAAGAAAGTGAGCGGCGTTTCTATGGACGTCCTAACTGGGCCTCTTAATATCACATGCAGCCTTCCAAATTGGCACAAGCTTGACAATCAAACTTTCCGCTTGGGGGGACTTCTAGAACCTGTCAGGTTGGCTTGGGATTTGACTGGAATGGACAGAGCTGTATGAACAAGCAACTCCGGGCCCAATGGTACAACTGCTGGAACACGCCTCCACGTATTCTTCAGCCACGATCCATAGTCTTTGACAATTGTACGGAGTACCGAGGAATCACTGAGAGTTGCATACTGTCAGTCCACAATGTAAATGAAGGAATACGAGGGGTTTCTTGTTTCTTTTCTTCATAACAAGTGGCTGGGGCCGAACACCATTTTGCCGAGAATCCGTATTTCTCAATGGCCAAAGCACCTACGGGGCCATCTGAAATATGGCCTCAAAAAAATAAGCGAATACCCCATCTTCTTCTTTCCAAGGTTTAAGTACGCATTCTCCCACTACGCTCTGGTCTTGTGCTTTATCCTTTTCGGCAAAGCAGACTTCTGATTGGCTCAAATATAGTAGCCTACATTGCGCCTTTCTCAGAGCGGGAGACTTAGGCGAGACCCAGTTTACCCTGTCACTCGGATCGTCTCCTAAACTCCAGTGGTGTGGATCTACTCCGGCGGAGCTCACTACTAGAGTAACTGCTCTGAAGAGGCCCCCTGGTTCATCCCATCCAGGACCCGTCGCCCTTTACAGCCAACGTATTATCATACGGCATGAACGTCCATCTTTGTCCAGATAAGGCGCCATGTCGCTACGTTCCCGGCTCTGGAACTCGGTTGATGCCTGCGGGTCAGGGTCTTTGCTTCATGTCTCGTCTACAGCGCACCCTTTCGGGCATTGCTCCATGGACTCCTGACGACATACAATTATGATTTGTTCTTCAGGTAATATTGCCGTTACGTGGAAGCGGGAACACAGTGAATCATCCAACCACCAGGCCTTGGGTGCCGTTTCAACATGACCTCGATGCTTTGGTAGCATTGCCTGAGCCACGATTGAACCAATGATGATTTGTCATTGAAAGATCTGCACGCTCTGTATCCTAGAGTCATTGAGGTGTTCTCTGGACACTTGTGTTTTGCACCTTTTTCCTATAGCTGTCATCTTGAGACAATATTCGTCTGGTCATCTTGGTCCCTTTGAACTCAGAATGTGTCAAGCAAGTTTAAAAAGACATCAGTGTCTTATTCATGATCAATAGAACCAAAATCCTCAACTATGTCTCCGATCCGAGATTTGGCACTCATCGGATTGGAAGTCCCTAACAAACTCAGCGCCGTCCTTGGGCATATTCTGCCCTCTACAGTGTACGTGAGAAGTGTTCAATGTTTGGAGGGCCATCTTCATTCCCACCGCCTAATATCATTATCGAATGGGGCCCGAATACTTTTGAAAAGCTCACCAAGGCCAACCACGCGTTTGCTTCGGCGAGAACAGTTCCTGCTTGGGACAGAAGCACGTGTACTTCGTCTACTAAGACAAAGTGCAGTTCCATGCGTTCCCTCGCTCCTCTATTACGACCCGCATGATACCCTACTAGGGTCCGCCTTTCTCGTGCGCCAATATATCCACGGCTCAACGTTACAGGAACTGGAAAGTCGACTTACCGCTGAAGATCGCCGAGAGCTCGACCGGCAATTGGGGCTTCTCGTGAACATGATCGGTCAACACACCGCTAACTCGTTCGGAACTCTGGAACAGGTGGCTTTGGGATCAGGGACAAGATCATGGCGAGAAGCCTTCCTTGTACACTTCGAAAGCATCCTTCGGGACTCGGAGGATGTCTTTGTCCATCTTCCCTATGCGGAGATTCGGCATCAGGTCGGTCGACTGTCTCCAGTCTTAGATGAGATCACATTACCACGGCTGGTAATATGCGACTTTGGTCGGCCCTCGGCCGTGCTGCTGGACCCTGTTTCGAAACAGTTGGCTGGGATTGCAGGGTTTGACAGCGCTCTCTGGGGTGACGTCTACATGGGAGAGATCTTTGAAGACCCGTCGCCCGCCGTGCTGGATGGATTCGCATCGCGTGACATTGACTGTGAGCCGGACTTGATCCGTCAATTACTGTATGGATCGAACTCCGTCCTTCTCATTAAAGACGAGGAAATGTTAATGGTCATCTTCTAGATATGCATGTTACCGTTCGATTCACAACATCACCATTCAATACTATCGGGAGAGAAATTCGGCAGCCGAAACCGAAGCACGAAGACGGTTAACAAGGATATTAACAAAAATGGCTGCAGTTGAGGTCGTCGAGACTCGTGTGGATGTTTAGTCGCCCGCAGTTGAGCCAAACGGACTCACATCAGACTATATGCTATGTCATCACCATCTTAAATACAGACCATGTACATAGAATCTAAGCATATGATTTACTTGAAGACCAATACTGCTCTAGCGATGAATGACTAAGGACAATACACAGAGGTGTTCATCTTATATTAACCCATTTCATAATTCATGATGTTACACTTACACAGATGGCTATGGTGAGTTTTGCTCCTTCGAATTGGAAAGTCCGTTTTTACCAATATCACTGACTAACAAGTAGCGACTACATACACTACACTAGCCGGGATACCTTCTTGCTCCATTTGATCCTTACTCACCTTTTCTAAGGCTGTTGTCTGCGTGTGATAACAGCCAAGAGCGGGGCAGCAGCAGTCAACAAATAAGAAAAGATGATGTCGTCAGGTGAAAATCGGAAATTCCGCGGTAGAAACTGCGCTATCCCCAATTGGGCGGTCTCTCTCCTCGGTGGGGCGCGTCCACTCCGCACCCTTTCAAGGAGGGCATCATCATTTTCTGGATAGTTCATGCTCCTTGGTCATTCTTTTCTCCTTTCTCTGCACTATTCTTGTATTCGTGCGCAGAGCCCTTGACTCCTTCAAAGATGGCACACTTCCTACGGGGGAAGCAAACCGGAATACAGAAAGATTTCTCCGATGGTCTCTCACCAGATCTCTTCAACCTCGATGATGTATGTCTTGGCTGCCCTAGGCACCGATATTTTCCCATTTGAGCTATCCTGTTGACCTCAATTCTACTTGCAGTACGCTCGGTGCGGTGTGAACTCGCAAATAAGTGTGCTTGCATACGATCCAGTCCAGTCTCTTCTGGCCGTAGGTACCAGCGACACCCAGTTCGGCAGTGGGCAGATCTATGTGTTTGGACAGCGCAGGGTCTCCGCTGTCTTTTCGTTGCCGCGGAAGGCATCGGCCAAATTCCTCCAGTTCTGCGCCGACAAGTTGATCAGCGTCGACTCGAAGAGCGAAATTACTATTTTCTCACTGGAGACCCAGAAAGCGCTGGTTTCGTACGCCCCGCCGAGCCATGCCACCGCCCTATTGACAGATCCTAGTCTGGATTATGCCTTTATTGGTCTACAGAATGGTGAGTGGGCATGAGGCACTTCTTATGAATATTCGTGCTAAGCGCTCTTTGCAGGGGACATTATTGCCTACGACCTGGATCGGGAGTCCTTGACACCGTTTAGAGTACCTAATCTCTGGGCCGAGCGCAATCCCCGGGCGCGACTGTGTCCAGTCCTTTCTCTGGCCTTTTCACCTCGGGATATTGGCAAGATTTTGGTCGGATATCCCGAAGGAGCCGTCACTTTCACCTTCAAACAGAACGTCGCTCAGAAGTACTTCCAATATGAAGTACCCCCCGGTGCAGTTGGGGGCAATTCCGAGATACCCTCCCAGGACACACGCAGACCCAAGCTGACCAGAGCGCTGTGGCATCCTAACGGTATCTTTGTTCTGACCGTTCATGACGACAACAGCCTGGTGTTTTGGGATTCGAAGGATGGGCGCAAGATCCTCGCCCGGACGATGGAGAATACACATATCGATGAACCTGGCGCCAGCCCAAACCGACGGTTTTCAACGGCTGAAGCCATTTTCAGAGACCCAATTACTCAAGTTGCATGGTGTGTTAAAGCCAACGGAGAGGACAGCGGCCTTCTTATTGCAGGTGGTCGGCCTAAGGCTGAGAGTAACAAGGGTTTGACCTTCATAGACTTTGGAGCAACTCCAAACTATCAAACTTCAACATGGCCAATGATCACCAATTATTTTGAAAACCCAAAACAAGTTCAGAATATTCCAGCACCTCCTGGTGCGGAAGTCGTCGACTTTTGCCTCATTCCCCGCTCCTCGCCATTCTATGCTGGCGCCCATGACCCCATCGCTGTGATTGCGCTTCTTTCCTCGGGAGAACTCATCACTCTAAGTTTTCCCAGTGGTCATTCCATCACACCTACGAACATGATTCACCCCTTCCTCTCTTTTGTGCACCCTTTTGTCACCAAAAGCACGATGACGCCTATTGACCGTTCCGCCTGGCTGGGCCTTCGGGAACGGAGATCGCAAGGCCCGAAATTCGTGATCGGTGGTGCAGAAGGCAAAAGGGCGCTGAAACGATTCGAGAATCGTAACATCATTACCACGGCTCACGCGGACGGAACCATACGTCTCTGGGATGTGGGCCATGACGACGAGATCGAAAACGCGGATGTCATCCAAGTGGATTTGGCCCGGGCTGTTGGGCGTGTCGCTAATGTGGAAGTCACTGAAATGTCTGTCAGCGGGTCTACAGGCGAACTCTCAGTTGGCTTGAAGAGCGGCGAGGTTGTGGTGTTTAGATGGGGTAATAATGGAAGTTTTGGCCATGAGGAGCCTCCAGGCACAAATGAAGGGGCCGGAAAGTTAACTCGGATCACCCACCGAGCTGATCCCGGGCTGAAACAAGGCATGCTTCCGCTCACTCTTCTGAATATGCAACAGGGGCCCGTGACTGCTGTGAAGCATAGCCATGTTGGTTTCGTTGCTGCCGGTTTTCAAAACGGCAGTTTTGCCATCATGGACTTGCGCGGGCCAGCAGTCATCCATACAGCCCAGGTATCCGATTTTGCGAAGACCAGCAAACGTGGAAGCTTTCTCAAGCACCGCGCTACTGAAAGCACAGCTCCAGAGTGGCCCACAAGCATAGAGTTTGGTGTGTTGACTCTGGAGGGTGAAGGTAAGATCTGTCGCCTTGAGTTATGAGTGAAGGCTGATACTGATCGTTTATAGATTATTCAAGCATCTGCTGCTTTGTAGGCACCAACAGAGGCAATTTGGCAACCTTCAAGATCCTGCCCGGAAATGATGGAGCTTACATGGGTCAATTCGCCGGCGTAACTCAGCTTGAAGACAAGGTCCTGAACATCATACCCATTGATGCGGATCAGGGTACCCCCGCGCTAGCCACAGCAAGCATGGTTGCCGGCCTCAGAACTGGCGCCAAAGTTAACGGAGTCGTCATTGCTGTTACTGTTTCCGGTTGCAGGATTTTTAAACCTGCAACATCCAAGGGCGCGCACAAGTCCTGGGATGATTATCTCTGCGATGCCGCGGCAGTCGTGAAGACAGAGGGCCGTGGTTATAGTCTCGTTGGACTGTTCGGCGATGGTAATGCTAGGGCTTTCTCCATCCCTGGTCTCAAGGAAATAGGCTGCACCAGTATCCATCAAATTGCCGACATGAGACGCCTCTCGGACTCAACTGTCTGTGCTGACGGTAGTGTTCTGACCTGGACGGGTCCGTCGGAAGTAGCAGTGTTCAATGTTTGGGGCTCTGGTACCGGACTGTATGGACCTCCGTCCCTCGATCATGTGTTTGTTCAACGGAAAGAATGACTTGCTAACAATTATGATAGACGACCATCAGACAGTCGACTCTTCAACCCACAGGCAGCCATTCCTGCACGTCCTACGATTACGAATCTGCAATGGATCTCCGGCACACAATATGTGTCCCCGGCCGACATGGATCTTCTGAGTATGTGCATTCGTTGCAGTCGCGATAACAAGTCTGGATAGCTGTACTGACATTTTCGCCACTACAGTCGGGGGCCCAGACCGGCCTCCATCAAAACGAATGCAGGAACAGATGCGACTAGAAGACCAAGAGCGGCGCCGACTCGCACGAGAGGGGAGAACAGGTTCCAATCTATCACAGGCATCGACGGGAAGTCAAGAGGGCTATTGGTCTTACATGACCCGTCAAGTCCAAGAACGAACGGAGCGACTAGGCATTGCTGGTGAGAGTATGGACCGTCTGGAAGAAAACAGCAGCAACTGGGCCAGGGACGTCAATAAATACGTACAGAACCAGAAGAAAAAGGCGATTCTCGGCGGTAAGTTTTCGTAGCCTTTAAAGTATTGCGCGAGTCTGCTAACGGATGAACTAGCACTGGGGTCGAAATTTGGATTGTGATGTTATGCTCTCATGGAGTAGGACAGTTTCCGCACTTTTATACACACTTCGTTGTTCTTATAACTAAATACCCAATTTACGGCGCTTGTTCGGACTATGACCACACTACAAATAAGCTCAGCTTATGCGTTGCAGATATTGGATGAGCGAAATTCAGGGCCTCCATCAGCACAATACTAGCACGGTAGATCTTCAGAAAGATCCAATATTGGCCCACGTATCAACCTCACCAAGCTAATGCCGCTCCCCTAGATCCAATATTCGTGAGGAATATACCAAATCCGCCACCTCTTCTCATATTCCTTCCAGAGCTCCCGCAAATCCAGTCTGTATTGGTCCTTGGCTTCCTTCCTCTGAGCATGCAAGCGATGCAGTTCCAGCGTGATCGTCGCAGGATCCAGTCTATTATTCTGCACAAGATCAATCATCGTATTTAGTTCGCCGAGTTTCACCATCAACGCCCGGTGCAGTTTTCTCGACCGGTGCTTGTCTGCTGTCAGGTGGCAGTGTCGGCAGAGGCAGGCGAAGGTTCCATCGTTTGAAGTAAGGTCTTCGGGCGATTTGCTGCTCCGATGCTTGCAGGAGAATCGGGGCATTGTAGGTTCACTTCAGTGGCTATCGAGTGCTGCAGTCGAACTCTTCCTGAAGCCTGGATGGGATAGTGGATTGCCTCTGAGTCATGTATTATCTGTAGGCAGTTATTCTGATATGATGGTCAAGATCAATAGGCGAAGATCAATGTGGTGCTATTCTACAGAAGCGAAGCATAGAAGGACGCAACGGGTTATTTTATATATCTCTCTACAAAGAAGGCTGGATTGGAGATAATATCACCAAGCGGCAATTTCATTATGCTCTGAGACAGATATTGAAGCTATTCAAGCGACGCATTGCAATCTTTGAGCTGCTCCATTAGACGGTGATGTTTGAGGTAAAGTGACTGCTATAGGCCAAGATGACAATGCTGAGGTTGTTGTTTTCTCCTTCAACACCCGGGGAGGTTCATGAGTGTGTTTGGAGACTGATATTACCTCTTTGATTAGGTCCAAAGCTGGGAAGCGGATTGTTCACCGTGCAGTCCGCTTTACTGTACACAGACTAAAAGGTGAATACCATTGCTTGATATGGTCTACTTTTCGAGATTGGTGCGAAGAGGATTGGCGCAGTGCTATCGCCCAACTCAGTATCCGGACAACGCTCAACCGTCGAGAGCGAATACCTTGCATACAGAGTTGCTGTGGGGACAGTCGTGTCGCCAGGGCCACAGCAACCCTGCAGAAACCATGTCCATAGCAGAAAGGAATGTATAACTATAAACGGTGAACATGCATATCCCTGGCTTGGCCCTTGCTTGAGTACGGTATCCGAATTAAGAAAGATGCGGTGTGATATGTTTTCTCAAATTATGCGGTTTCTATATCATGTAAATAAATGCTGCAAAATCAGAGAACATGGCCCAGGCGAATAGCTTCGGTCGTCGTAAGCGTTGTAACACAATCGTAAAATCATGCAATATTGAGGATATTCCAAAGATGAGCGGTAAAACTGCGAGGTATTTAGTGCACCATGATGTCCTGCTGTTGATGATGCCCGCTGGCGGCGTTGGTATCTTTCGATTCGGTGTCGTCGCCCATTTCTACGTCTTCATCACGATCTCCACCCTCTTCCTCGTCAAGGTCGTCCTCTTCATCGTCACTTTCATCCTCGATATCTTCACTCTCCGCGTCGGAGATGTCTTCTTCCTCATCGTCCTTGCCAGCAGGTTCCTCCGCCCCTTCCATCTCGTGATCACCGCCCTTAGTAGCATCTCTTTCAGCCTCTTCGAGTTCTCTGACCAGCGCAGCCTCGAGTTCGGCTTCTTCAGCGCCGTAAGCAGCGCCGTCGTCTTCCAGATCCGCTTCGGGTTGGTCAGGTGGGTATTCGGCTGGAGCATCCTCCTCAGAATCCCTGAAATAGAAAGCGTAAGTTAAGGTCGTTGTACTTAAGAAGGAGGGGAATGCCTTACCACTTGATAGCGAACCTGGTCACTCTCGGCTTCTCAGCAAGAATATTTCGGCGGATTCGTTCAATAATCGGCTTGGCGGGAGGGTCCAGAGTGAGCTCTTCCGAGTCGTATTCATTGTTCACGTAGTATCCAACACGGACAAATTCTCTGCCGTCATAGCTGCAAGTAAGAAGAATCACAGTGACACCGAGAATTTCTGAAGTAGGGATTCGCTTCAGGTCCGGAGCGTCGGCCTCGAAAAGGAACTTATTGACGCCAACGGGGATGGGTCCGACAAGAAGAGAGTCGAGTTCCTGGTCATATTCAGAACTACTCAGGTCAGCAACAGCAAACCTGCATTTGTATGCTGACGGCCTTGACTTACGATGTAGCAGAGCCGACGTAAGTGAGTTTCCATTCCAAGTCTGGCAACTCAGTTGTTAGTGACTCTGAACTTAGCTGTAAAGAACATCTTGAGTATGTCACCTTTCTGGAGCTGTTCGAGACACTCAAAGGTGATCTCGAATTGATATGGAGCCAGGAAAGGGGCGGGATTGTTAACAATCTTGACGCCGAGAAGGGAGACGACGGACATGGTGATTGATATGTGATAGCGTTAGATGAGGTCAGGAAACTTTTTCGTTGGAGGGTAATGGGCCTCTGAGAGAACGAGATATGAAAAACGCACGAGGCGATGGGTGTACAATAAGTGAAAACTATTTAACAAGGAGAAGTCCGGAAGAAATAATAAACACAGTTTCCATCGAGGGGTGATAAATCATGCAAGTCGCAACTCCCAACCGAAAGAAGTAAGTAATTACCCCGACGCGCTGCCCTCGCGTCCCTCATCTCTGTCGCGCCTCACCGCCTCCGTCACGTGATCCTGCCGCAATGACATCTGCAGCTTCTGCTAATAGCTCAGTGCGACAGCCACCTCCAGCAGCCCCATGCGGGAGTTTCTTTGTCCTGCACATTTCGGTTCCTTTTTTGTCAGCAGACGCTGATCTCTCTCATTTGCATTTTCAGGTGTTGTCCTTGAATTTCTTCCTGGTCAATTACTTCAGATTTTCCTCATTTAATGTAGGTGAGCGACGGCCACAGATCTTCTGGATCAACTTACTCATCGCACACTGCTGGACCAGGCCATTCGTTTGCAGCCATTTTGTCTTGTCGCGTTTGAGATCTTCGTAACCTGTCATGGCTGAAGAAGATGCTGAGAAAGCCTTTTTCCAGGCTCAGGCTATGAATGCGGAATCTGTGGACTATAAAGCTGTTGAAGAGCATGGTGCAGATAGTTCAGATTCAGATGATTATGATCCTTCAAAAACACTCCAAGACCAATATTCTTCCTCCTTGACAGATCTCAAGCAAAGTGAAAATGTTTCTTCCAGTGCCTCTCCTGAGCCAAACCCTACTGAGCAAAATTCTGTTCGACCAGATGATGATCCTAGTCAACCGGATGGTACATCCTGTCCTTCTCAGACACCCTCACGAGATGAGTCTCGGGCTTCCACTACGGTACCAACGTCCGGTACATCTGTGCAGCCGAAGACCAGGACAATCGGAGGATTTGTGGTTGAGGATGAAGACGAGGACGATGCAGGTGATGCTGATTATGAGCCCCCTGCTGTACTTGGTGTTGAGGACATGAATACTGTTGCTACGAATGTGCCTCAGCAGTCCGTCTCAGGAAATGAAAATGAAGCTTCTTCTACCCCTGATGTATCCCCGGATGATGCTGCGCAACAGTCCGCCAGCCTGAACAATGTTTCCCATAGCTCTTACTCTCCTGCTCCTGCTGTTGCCCCTAAAAGTGATGTGGCTGTTGCCGCTGGACAGGGTTTGTACAACTCACATGCTTTACAGTCCGGAAATGGGCAAGACAGCGCGGCGGCTACTCCTACGCCGGATTCTCCTTCGACCTCGAAAGGTCGCTTGCCTCACGATCGAGTCGGCATCTTGGAAGACCGAATTCAAGAGGATCCTCGTGGCGACATACCTGCCTGGCTCGAATTGATCAATGAACACAGAAGCCGCAATAGAATTGACAGCGCGCGTGATGTTTTTGAACGATTTTTGAAGGTTTTCCCCTTTGCTGTGAGTACGCTAAAGTCACCTCAGCACCAATGAGAGAAAGCTGACCGATCTCAGGCCGAACAATGGGTGGCGTATGCGAAGATGGAATCCGAACTCAACGATCTTTATCGGCTTGAGCAAATCTTCAATCGAACCCTTCTAACCATTCCGGATGTCCAGCTGTGGTCGGTATACCTGGATTACGTCCGCAGGCGCAATCCCTTGTCGACGGACACAACTGGACAAGCGAGGAGGATTATCTCATCTGCTTATGAGTTGGCGTTTCAGCACGTCGGCGTAGACAAGGATTCGGGTTCAATCTGGTCTGATTACGTTCAGTTCATTAAGTCGGGGCCAGGCAATGTCGGTGGGTCTGGTTGGCAAGACCAGCAGAAGATGGACCTGTTACGGAAGGCATATCAGAAAGCCATTTGCGTTCCAACTCAAGCTGTCAATACTCTCTGGAAAGAGTATGACCAGTTCGAGATGGGTCTGAATAAACTTACAGTAAGTTCGAGCGATTCTGCGAAGGCTCCCCACTTTCTGATATCTTCCCCGCCATTATAGGGTCGTAAATTCCTTCAAGAGCAGTCACCAGCGTATATGACCGCTCGAAGCTCATATACGGAGCTGCAAAATATCACAAGGGATTTAATCCGCACAACGTTGCCTAGATTGCCCCCTGTGCCGGGTTCTGATGGTGATATTGAATTCACTCAACAGGTTGATATCTGGAAGCGTTGGATCAAGTGGGAAAAGGGAGATCCACTTGTGTTGAAAGAAGAGGATCCTACTGCTTTCAAGGGCCGCGTTGTTTATGTCTACAAACAAGCTCTCATGGCCCTGAGGTTTTTGCCAGAAATGTGGTTTGATGCGGCCGAGTTCTGTTTTCTGAATGATCTGGAAAGTGAAGGAAATGAGTTCCTCAAGCAGGGCATGGAAGCTAACCCTGAAAGTTGTCTTCTTGCCTTCAAGCGTGCGGACCGACTGGAAATTACATCGGAGTCTGAGCAAGATCCCATCAAGCGAGGTGCGAAGGTTCGGGAACCCTACGATAAATTACTTGATGCTTTGTACGATTTGATTGCGAAAGCACGTACGAGAGAAGCTCAAGACGTCGCACGCCTTGAAGAGACTTTTGCAAAGATGAACGCCGACAATCCACCTGCCAAAACTGATGACGACGATGACGATCAAAGTGAGTCAAAAGCAAGAGAATCAGTCAAAAATGCGCAGATCGATGCTGTTCGCAAAGCACACGCCATACAAATCGGCATTCTTTCTAAGACAATCTCTTTCGCCTGGATTGCCCTCATGCGTGCCATGCGCCGTATCCAGGGCAAAGGAAAACCAGGTGAGACGCCTGGCTCCCGACAAGTGTTCGCCGATGCGCGCAAGAGAGGTCGCATTACTAGCGACGTCTACATTGCCAGCGCCCTCATCGAGTACCACTGCTATAAGGACCCTGCGGCCACAAAGATCTTTGAGCGTGGTGCTAAGCTCTTCCCGGACGATGAGAATTTTGCACTCGAATACTTGAAGCATTTGATTGATATCAACGACGTTATCAGTAAGCTACTGCAGTGTTCCTAATGTAATCCGATTTCTAACCGTCTCCCAGATGCGAGAGCAGTGTTCGAGATGACGGTCAGGAAGTTGGCGTCTAACCCTGAGAACGTTCATAAGACCAAGCCAATATTCGCGTTTCTTCATGAGTACGAGTCCAGATACGGCGATCTGGTTCAGGTGATCAACCTCGAAAATCGGATGCGTGAATTGTTTCCTGAAGATCCTACATTGGAACAATTTGCTCACCGTTATTCGGCTCCTACTTTCGACCCGACCGCTGTTCGGCCGATTATATCGCCGTCTCAGATGCGGCCAAAGGCAGCCTTCCCTACAACTGAGCAACCGATGTCCCGCCATGGTACCCCCACGCCGAGATACCCAGGCTCTGTCACAGACTCTCCTAAACGACCACTGGAGGACTTTGACGACGACTACAACCGGCCCCGCAAGTTTGTGAGGGCTGAATCACCTTTAAAGACCACTCAGCGGCGACAACTGGATCAACAGAAGCGATCACAACTCAGCAATGTCCAGGCTGGGTCGCAATTCAGATCTCAAGGCTCACCAGCTCCATTACCTCGCGATATTGTTCATCTCCTGAGCATCATCCCTCCAGCCTCCGCATACACGGCCGGTAGATTCTCCCCTGAGAAATTGGTCGATCTCATTCGTAGAATCGAGATGCCGAGCTCCATTTCCCAAATTCCTCTTCCGCAGTCAGCTCGGGGCCTCGGGACTACACAAACACCAATGCAGCCGTTTTCTGGTAAGGCTTCTCCTTTCTTTTCTTTCGAGCTGTCTATAGTCGCTCTGTTTGGATATCTAACAGCATTGATCTTCCAGGGATGTACCGGTAGTAGTCGTCTTCTCGATTGTTCCCCCTTCAAGATAGAAGAGCCTTGGAGACAGCCTCTGATTTCGAACCTCGCCTTGAGTGAAATTTTTGCGCCCAAAGCTACCATATCCACAGATTTCTCTCGAACTGTTTGACGAGACGTCGTCATAGCTTCGACCACAAACCTCATATGAAACATTTTTGGCAGCTGAGAGTTTTTGGACTTTCTCTTGGTTGATTGCATCCTCGGATCAGGTTTGGATTGTACAGCTGTTGAAGACATGACATACTACTAATGGCACATGGTGTTCCTGATGATCAGATAATCCTTTTTTTTTTAACTGCTTGCATCAGCCCTCAATCGATTCTCGGGTTTACAAAGTTGTGTTCGTCTCTTCCCGAGGGTCAATGTCAATACCATAATGCTAAATCATATTGCTCTGTTTCTCCTTCTTATACACCATTAATCCTTTGGGTTCATTCCTTCATGTTTCTACAACAACCCACTCGGTTGGCTGAACGACCTTAGCTTGTGCCCTTACGCCGTGAAGGCCCGTCTTCCGCCTGAATTAGGAATTAGCGACTCTTGATGTACGGAATGGCCTCGGATGTCCCTCCATTGTAACATCGCAAACCATATTCCCCGACTGCGCCTCCTTTTGCCTCTCAAAACTGGTATTCTACAGGAGACATGATCCTGTCCACCTCCTGTAAGCTCAGCCTTGACTCGATTTGTCTTCGAATAAGATTTGTGAGACTCCTGCAGGGAATGCCTCAAGCTATATCAAACCACACTTTCGGGATGCTCTGCAACGAGTTCGGGACCTCCAAGGCTTTGTAGGTATATAAAGAGAAAGGGGCGTCTTAGGGTCACAAACTGAGACTCGTATCGTATATTGAGGACATTCTGAACAGGCATTGGTTAGCACCACAAAATAAAAGAGCATTTTTGAAGTCGCCGCGGAGAAATAGCAGATGTGTTTCATTCTGTTCTCCATTCCTTCCAGAAACCACATTTCTCCATTTCCTCTATGATCAGAAAATACTTACGTCTTGCCTTTCATTCTTATCATATCGACCTCAGCTCGCTGCTTTTGTGCAAAGCCCTCTCATTGCACTACCACCACCATCAGCACCTCACCAGCACCTCACTAGAACCTGCCCAATTTCACCAGATGCTGTTACCCCTGGCGATAACACATCAACAAAACTCTTCAAACAGACCAGAACGTGGTGCCTTCCTCTCCTAATGAGCATGTCGTCAACAAAAACACTCTGATCACTTCGTCCTTCTCTCTCTGCTCACCTCTTACCTATCTGCTGCCTTACATATCACCTCACATATCGTCTCACATATCGCCTCACTGCCTGTCATCTTCGATTAGCATCCCCATCTCTCTCACCTCGCCATCTTGCTCACATCAAGCTTCATCTTCCTGCCCCGGCTCGCTCACTTTCAGATATCCCCGTCACGAGCCAGTGCTTCCCTCCTGCCTATCTAAGCATCCTTTTTCTCTCCTCTCCCTCTTCCTTCCTTCCTTCCTTCTTCCATACCATCCATACCATCCATACCTCCCCTGCTCGTCTTGCTCTTTCTCTGCTGTGCTGTTTCTACACCCTACTTGTCGTCTTCCTTGAAACATCCGTCTATCTTCTCCCTTGTCTTTACCCCTCCCACATCGACATCCTCCTCATTCGCAGACTGCTACTCGACCAGATTACCATTTTCACTGACGCGGCTCCTGGAAATACGCCCGATCATCCCCTTGTCCCTGTTCTCAACAAGACCTACGCGTCGTCTTCAAGCCGACTCTCTTTTGACTTTGCGGCTTGCTCTGTCCGCCCGGTCTATCCAGGTGTACTCCCAATTGACGCAATAGCCGACCTGCATCAGTAGCATCGGAGCCACTTTCGTGTATCCACGGACAATTCTCCCCTCTGTTTCTCAAAGAAGCAGTAGGCTGAGATTCAGTCTTGACTTTTCCCTGTAGCATAGGTTGTCCGTCGAGACAATCTGCTTGCATGGCTGGTGTTCTTCTGTTTTCCAATGTCCAGCTGTCCTTTGCGTTCGATCCTGCGATTCAAATCTGTATCCGAGTCAGTCTAACAATCGGGCAAGAAACAGAAAGCAAACGGCTCTTAGCGAAATCCCCCATCAGTAAAAGCAATGGCTGCGCCAGGACGCGGTCCCATTGGGGATCCTGCTTTGGATCGTCCAAAGCTCGTCACGGACATGTGCAAGAATATTGACTTGACAATGGGTGCATTCCAAATCAACCACCTAGTAAGTCGCTTCTCGAGTTGGATCTTGCAAAATGACAAATGATTCCTCTGCGAATGGCGTTTGTGTTGCCGCCGGGTCATACCTTTGGAAACAATCCTATTGTCCACAGGAGGCTGATGCAATTACCTATTGCTGCTGTCCTTCAATACCCTGTTTCCCCTGTCTCCTTCACTGGTCCATTCCTTTTATTCACTACCACCTCATGCAATTGATGTTTTTTACATGGTCTTCCTTCGCTGTCCACTTCAAGCTCTGCCCATTCACACCTCTTGTCTATCAAACGACCAATGCATCCATTGCATCAATTCACCGGCTACAAGCTTCCCATTGATGTAAGAAGCCGATATTCAATCTTTAAGTCCTTTTCTTTTTCAGATTCACATCGTCTATGCCATGTCAGCTTCCTCTCATGGCGACGGCAAAGTTATATAAACGCCCTTCTCTTCCCCTGCTCTGCCTTCTTCTTTCCCTCTCATACAAACGCAGACTCTTGTCTTTGACTCCCTGCACTATCTCACCCGCTTCTTCACTCACAACACTTGCTTCATTTCATTGCCATCCTCATCATGGAGGACTTCGAGTACACGAACAAACTTGAAGGCGGCCTTCGCCATCTTCGTATCCAGAATGCTGACGAGGTTGCCAAGTACTCTGTTCCTGTCGAGACCGTTGCCCGTCCCAACCACAATCAGACTGGAAAGGAGATCGAAGTTCTTATGAACGCCTATCCCATCACCAAATTCCCTACTCGTAACGTCTACCAGTACGACGTAAGTATTTCCTGCAATCGAACGAACAAGACAATCACTGGAGCAGCACCTTGCTAACAAGGCAAAGGTTCAAATCGGAAATGGCGTTGAGAAGAATGCTGTCATCAAGAAGGTTTGGAATTGCAATGCTCGCAAGGCCGCCCTGAAGCAGATCGTCTTCGATGGTCAGAAGCTTGCCTGGTATGTGCTAACACTAACCTGTCCTTCGAGCAACCACTGAGTAGCATACACAGGTCCATGAATAACTACCCCAACGGTTTGAATGTCGTTGTCGACCTCGATGTGGAACAGGGCCGGCCTGCTGGTAGGACCAGCAACACTTTCCGGTTGACTGTTCGTCCCACAAAGACCGTCAACCTGGCAGTTCTGAACTCCTGGCTTACTGGGCGCACCTCTATGTCGGAGGCGGTCCTTGAGGCTATGAGTAAGTCCACCGCTTGCTTGAGCTTCAGCGTGTTCAGTTTCAGTGACTAATAGCCACAGACTTCCTCGATCATGTCCTTCGCGAGCATCCAAGCGGCAAGTTCCTCGCCATTCGCCGCTCTTTCTTCGACCCCAACGGAGAAAATCAAGATCTCGGAAACGGTGTCCTTGCCTTCAAGGGTGTCTATCAGGCGATTCGTCCTGCACTGGTAAGCCGGCCTCTCTTGTTGAGCTAATCAACATCTTGACTAATTGTTGCACTAGGGCCGTGGTCTCATTGTCAATGTCGATGTGTCCAACTCCTGCTTCTGGGCGCGGACCTCTTTCATGGGCGCCGCCATGGCGATTCTCGATTGCCGGGACCATCAGCACCTGATGCACCTTCTCAAGCCTGTTGCCGACGGTCATGGTGGTGTTACCGAGTCGACTGGCTTTTATGAGGTTCACCGTCGCCTTCGCAAGCTCGGGGTTCAGCCGCATTACAAAGGCTGTCCTTGCCTTGGTGTCGATTTCATCGTCAAGGGCTTGCTGAACGCAAACGCCCGCCAGTACACCATTGAAATCAAGGACAAAGCCACTGGGAAAACCCAGAAGATGAGCGTGGAGGCCTACTTCAAGAAGAAGTATAATCTCACTTTGAACTACTGGGAGCTTCCTATGGTTGAGATGACCAAGAAAGGCGTCGTCTATCCTATGGAAGTCTTGACCATCCACGGACTCCACCGCTACCCATGGAAGCTGAATGAGTATCAGACTTCAGCTATGATCAAGTATGCCGCATCCCGTCCCGCGGATCGTCTCAATTCCATCCATAAGTCGAAGGCTATGCTTGACCATGCAAAAGACCCGGTCCTCAACACTTTCGGCCTTGCAATCGACAGCAACATGATTCGGACTAAGGCTCGTCTCTTGCCCAGCCCCGACATTCAGTTTGGTGGAAACCAGCGCCTGTCTCCTGGCACTAATGGTCGTTGGGATCTCCGTGGCAAGAAATTCTACCAGCCAAACAAGAGGCCCCTGGAAGCGTGGGGTGTGGGCTTCTTCCCTGGAAAGCGCAATGCTATCAACCAAACCCAGGTTCAGCAGTTCTGTGACTTGCTTATGAAGACGTACGCCGGTCATGGTGGTATGATCAAAAACAGGCCCCACATCCTTGAGCTTCGTGAGGACATTGGCGAAGCTATTAAGCGTCTCTACAACACGACTGGTCAACGTTTTCAGAAAGATCCCCAGCTTCTTTTGATCATTGTTCCGGACAAGAACTCCTTTACCTACACGCGGATCAAGAAGTCTTGCGACTGCCGTTGGGGTGTGCCCTCTCAAGTCTTGCAGTCCGGTCACTGTGTCAAACTTAACCCTCAGTACGCCTCTAATGTCCTAATGAAGGTCAATGCCAAGCTCGGTGGCACCACTGCTCGTGCTGTGCCCAAGGTTACTGAAGCAACTTTGCGTCCTCGCTCCATGATCATCGGTGCTGATGTGACTCACTCTCCTCTGGGTGTCTGGTCGCCTTCCATGGCGGCAATGTCTGTCTGCATGGACGCTTTCGGTGGCCGCTACTGGGGAGCCTGCGAGGCGAATGGAGATCGCCTTGAAATCATTGCTACTTCCAACATTGAGGTTATATTGACTCCCCTGATTCGCGAATGGATGGCCACTGTTGGGGAAGGCAGAGCTC